TTCCGCCGCTCCGAGGCCATTTTACCTCGGTCCCCAGGCCCGGGGTGAGGCGGGTGCTCGCGGAGGCCGGAGGTCGCTCTCCCCGGGCGGGCCGGCCGGCCGTGCTCGTCCCCTCCCTGCCGCGGCGTAGTCCCCTCCCGCCTCCTTGGGTCGGCTTCCGAGGACCTGGCCGCACGAGCGAGTACAGCTAAGGAAAAAAGAGGCGTTTGTGCACCACGGTTCATGTCACGCAATAGGTTGTTGTTGCAGCTGTGTTCTGTGGACTTCCATTTTTAAGCGAGTGCTTGCGTCCAAGGGAAGAAATGGAATTACTTTTTTAAAAACCGCTTTTCATCATGTGGGAAAGCCCAAACTCTTATTTTGATAAGAAAGTCGGTTGGTTGATCCCGTAGGACTAGGTTAAAATCGTCACTAATTGTGATCGAAAAGTAAAAAAACGATTCTTCTCCCCGGTAGAAAAGTACCTCGATGAACATGTTACGGTCGGGAGTTGTATTTGTTCCTATTTTATGGAGTTTTCATCCGATTTTTAATTTAGTTAATTCTATTGCTTCAGAAGATATGTGGAAGTCCCAGATCTATCACCACAAGTTCTCACTCTCTTTTTTATTTTAAAGTGTTGACCATTAAGTCCTCTGTGACAAACGTGTTGTAGATTTTTAAGGCCCCATTTAGAAACTGTGCAAAAATCTTTTCAAGATGTGTAAATTTTATTCTTAGTTTACTCAGTAGCATCTGATTGGGCAAATTGGGGAAGATTGCAGCCCACAAGGTGGCTTGTGTAAGGTTGAGGTTAAATCTTAAGGGTTGGATAGGTGTGTTTCTAAGAGTGCTTTTGGGTCTTATGGTATATTAAGCAGATACATAGTTACGGGATCAGTATTTTCATAAACTTTTCAGTGGCGAAACTTAGGAAACTATACTAAAGTTTCTAAATCCCAAAGGATGAAAGTAGTAGTAATAGTGTGTCCCAGGCATTGCCGATTTTTACATGGCTCGTCTATCTAGCTTTTGCAATTCAATGTTGTCATGTTTGTTCCAAATATTTTTGTTTATTATTTGTCAGAAATAAGCTGGTATATATGATCTAGAAAACTTGTACTAGTCCTGTGATGTGGAGGTGAGCATTGTCACCGTTACATTTGTTCTGTACATTACAGCTTTTAAGGATTCCTAGAGTCTTGTACGTATATAGAATCCTTGATCATTATTTGATAATGTATTTGTATTGTTTGTTTCTTGCTCTTCAGAATTTTATGTTAATAGGTCCTTTAGCAAAATAAGACAAGATAATATTTTGGTTTTATTCTTATTTTTATTTTTTAAATCATCTTCCACTTTTCTGCTTCTGAACATGTTCTGTTCCTTGTAGTTACTAAGCTTAGCAGAAAACAACTTTTCGATATTCCCACAATAGCTTATCCTACTGGATAGATATCATTAAGGTGTTCTATCAGACTAGAATTTGGGTGTTAATAAATGTTTTCTACCTTTGAAGATGTAGTTGGTGGATTTAATCTTTCCTAAATGCACATTGAAGTTGTATTTTATGTTCATATTTTATTTGAACAATCTCTTATCTATATAGCATTGCTATTGTGCTCAAAAGCATTGACATTTGCAGAGTTTGTGAGGCAGGCAAAATTGTTATCCTCTTTTTGCTGACTTGGGACCGCAGCTCAGAGTTAAGTGATGCTCAAGATCACACCCATGACAAAAGAGTAAGGAAAAGGTGGACTACTAGTACCTTTCTGCTATAGTGCCAAGGCTGTTACGGTGTATAGTGACCGGTTTCTTGATTGAGTTATGTTTTTGTTTCAGCAAGGTACATGCCTTCTTACTGAAGTGTTGGCTGGTGCTTGCCTCTGTTCAGAGAGAACTGAGTTGCCTAACTTAGGATCATAATGCTAAATAAGAGCCAGGAAACTCCTGGGATCTGGGATGCTAGGCACCTAGCCAACCTAAACTGAACTCCACATCCTAAGCTGTTTGTGTTAAAGCGTCAGGAGTAGATGCTGGTTCTGACAGTCTACACTTGAGATATATTATTTCTGAATTATCTACATAAATAACTGAAACTTTCATAATTTTAAAATCAATTATCATCACTTACCAACTTTTGAGGGACACTGAATTTGAGATCCTAACCCCACATAATTAACAGCTGTTTTAATCCCTGAATACTGATTCATCTAACGACTCACATTCATTTACATCCTGGAAAATGAGGATTAATTTTGAGTTTGAAAAGTTGTAGCCGGGCTCAGTGGCTCAGTTTGTAATCCTGCGCCTTGGGAGGCTGAGGTGAGTGGATTACCTGAGCCCGCGGGTTCAAGACCCACCTGGGCAACTTGGTAAGACCTCATCTCTACAATAAATCAAAAATCACCCAGGCGTGGTAGCACGCACCTGTAGTTCCAGCTCCTTGGAAGACTGAGGCGGAAGGATCGCTGGAGCCCAGGAGGTCGAGGCTGCGGTGGCCGGGAGCAACCACTGCACTCCAGTCTGGGCGACAGAGTGAGACTCCAACTCAAAAAAAAAAGAAAAAGAAAAGTTGTGATTATTAAGTGTGACTCATAAGCACTGAGTATATTTTCTTCATTATTTTCCTTCAAGATTCAAGGTTCAACTCTAATGGACTCCAAATGTTTTGGTTATTCCATTTTCTGATACGGGAATAGAGTGTTCTAAGAACTTGGAATATCCATTGTCTTTATGAATATAAAATTGACTTTTTTTCTGATTTCTTTGTAATTTTTCAAAGCTTTTAAAGCTGTGGGGTACAATTCAGGGTTAGTGGTCATAGTACAGGTAAAGTTTGGGTACCCTTATTGATGTCATGTGCCTCCCTAGAATTGACTTTAGATGGTTATTGTGCTTGTCAGTGGGTTTTTTAAAATTACCCTGTGAAATAGTAAATTTCTTAGCACATTAATACAGTGTAAAAGTCAAAATTGAGAGTTAGGTTCTATTTTGACTAAGTAGTTGAATGTTGAGATACTTTTAAATTTTAAATCTGTTCTAGTTTGACTTTTGCCTGACAGTGCATTTAACTGTGTGGCATATCATGGACTCTCAAGGAAAGATTGACTTTTCGTCAGCTTAAAGTTAAGGGAAGATTTTTTTTCCCCCCAAATGAATTTCCCACGTTGTTTACCTCAAACACCTTAAATAACCTGTGGCTCTGAGAGTTGACTTAAGAAGTGCATTTATACAAAACTTGTATTTATCCCTCATTTATGTTGCAAATTTAGAAATGTATTTTTCCAAGTAGCTGGAACTACAGGCATGTGCTACCACGCCCGGCTCATTTTGATTTATTGTAGAGATGAGGTCTCTCCAAGTTGCCCAGGTGGGTCTCGAACCCCCGGGCTCAGGCAATCCATTCACCTCAACCTCCCAAAGGCGTGGGATTACAGGCTGAGCCACCGAGCCCGGCTAGAAATGTATTTTTAAAGATAATTTGGATTATAAGCACCGTTTCTTTAAAATCTACCTGGCATCAAACTTTTTAAAAAGGAAAGAGCATAAGCCAATGTTAGAAATGCAAATAACTGGCCAGACTGGGTTGCTCAACCTGTAATCCCAGCACTTTGGAGGACAATGGATTGCCTGAGCCTGCAGGTTCGTGACCAGCCCGGGCAATTTGGTGAGACCTGTCTCTACAATAAAAAAATAAAAAATTAGCTGGATGTGGTAGTGTGCGCCTGTAGTTCCGGCTACTTGGAAAGCTGAGGCGGAGGGATCTCTGGAGCCCAGCAAGTCGACACTGGGGTGGCCATGAGTGTGCCACTGCACTCCAGCCTGGGTAATAGAGTGAGACTCCGACTCAAAAAAAAAATGCAAATAACTGCTCTCTAAAATTCTAAACATTGGAGATACCAAGAATTCTTTAGTAACACTTAGAAGCAAAGTCAGGACGATGATGTGGTTGTTATCCTTTAGCTTTTTCAGGAAACACTGAAAGACTGGTTTTTCTGTTTTGTTTTGAAACAGGGTCTTGCTCTGTCACCCAAGCTGGAGTGCAGTGGTATGATCATAACTCACTGTGGCCTCAAACTCCTGAGCTAAAGCAATCTTTTCACCTCAGCTTTCCCAGTGACTAGGACCATAGGTGCTTGCCACCATACCCAGCTATTTTTTTAAAAAATTTTTTGTAAAAGTGCAGTCTCACAATGTTGACTAAGCTGAGAGTGTGGTCTTTTGATGGGGAGAAGAAAACTAATCATTAAATACTTTTTTTTTGTTGTTGTTGTCAGGTCTTTCTCTCCCAGGTGGGAGTGCAGTGGTACATCTTCTGGGTTCAAATGATCCTTCTGCCTCAGCCTCTTAAGTACCTGGGACTATGGGTGCACTACAATGCCCAGCTTATTTTATTTTTATAGAGACAAAGTCTCGCTATGTTGCCCTGGCTGATCTTGGACTCCTGGGTTCAAGCAGTCCCTGATTTGGCCTCTCAAAGTGCTGCAGTTACAGGCATGAGTCATGGCGCCTGATCATTTTGTGCCAGCCACCATGCAAAAATTAATGTTTGTCTTCAAAAACAGCACAACAGACTGGGCATAGTGGCTCACGCTTGTAACCCCTGCTCTTAGGGAGACCAAGGCAAGAGAGATTGCTTGAGCCCAGGAATTCTACCACCAGCCTGGGCAACATAGTGAGACCTCATCAAAAAAAAAAAAAAAAAAAAAATTAGACAGGCATGGTGGCCTGCGTCTGTATTCCCAGCTATTTGGGAGGCGAAGGTGGAAGGATTGCCTATGCCCAAGAGTTCACGGGTGCATTGAGTGGTGATTGTGCTACTGCACTCCGGCCTGGGCAACAGAGTGAGACTCTGACTCAGAGAACAACAGCAAAAAGAAAAGTACAGTAATTTGGGGCCCTTGTGGTGAACCTTTATCAAGATGGGGAAATGGAGCCTCAGAGTTTCTGCTGCTTTTTTAATTTTCTTTTCCTTTTTTTTTTTTTTTTTTTTTTTTGAGTTGGCGTCTCACTCTGTCGCCCGGGCTAGAGTGCAGCGGCACACTCACAGACTCCAAGGCTCCGGTGATCCTTCCACCCCAACCTTCCAAGTAGCTGGAACTGCAAGGTGCATGCCACCATGCCCAGCTGATTTTTTTAATTTATTGTAGAGATGAGGTCTTGCCAGGTTGTCCAGCCTGGTCTCAAATCTGTGGGCTCAGGCAATCCTCTCACCTCAGCCTCCCAAAATGCTGGGATTATAGGTGTGAGCCACCAAGTCCTTGCTGTAAATCTAGTTTTCAAGCACTCATAGAACTCCACCATAGTACCTGTGATATCAAGGTCCATATTTATTCTCACAATTTGATAATAATGTGGTTATCTTATTGGTTCTCAAAAGGATTTAGATTGATGTATTTATATAAGTTTGTGGCTAGGTGCCTAGGTTCACACCTGTAATCCCTTCACTTTAGGAGGCCAAGGCAGGAAGATTGCTTGAGACCAGCCTGGGCAACATAGCAAAATCCTCTATTGCCCCATCTCTACCAAAAACTTTTAAAAATTAGCTGAGCCTGGTGGTACAAGCCTATAGTCCCAGCTACACAGAAGGCTGAGGCAAGAGGTTTGCTTGAAGCTGTAGTAAGCAAGCTATGATCTCACCACTACACTCCAGCCTGTCAGACAAGACACCCTGCCTCAGTAAATTTAACTAAAGTGAATGAAACAATTCTATCCCCATGGAGCTACTTAATAATTGGGAGAAATAGGTATATAGAACGACAGGAGTGATAAGATGTATAAGCTCAGGTTGTGATAAGAGGTATGAACACAAAAAGAATGGGTATATGGAATTTTGAGTGAAATGGGAACCTTATAAGAATTTAACCAGAAGGGTGAAATATAGATACATACATACAGTGGTCAAATATGTGCAGTTCAAATGACTATAATTGTCTTACAGGCTTTTTTTTTTCTTTTTAATTAAAAAGATTATTGATACTTAATTCCGGACAAATGGGAAATTCTGAGAAAACACATGGCTTGATTTCTGTGTCCAGGACTTTGCAGGCTAATAGAGTGAATGCATATCAAAGTCCTGCTATATGCCGGGCGCAGTGGCTCAAACCTGTAATCCCAGCACTTTGGTTGGCTGAGGCGAGAGGATTGCCTGAGCCCACGGATTCGAGACCAGCCTGGGCAACATGGTGAGATCTCGTCTCTACAATAAATCAAAAATTAGCCATGCATGGTAGTGCGTGCCTGTAGTTCCAGCTACTTGGAAGGTTGAGGTGGAAGGATTCCCAGAGCCCAGCAGGTTGACGCTGGAGTGGCGATGAGCATGCCACTGCACTCCAGCCTGGGCGACGGAGTGAGACTCCAACTCCAAAAAAAAAGTCCTAAAATAAAAGTGGTTAGAGATAAACATGGTGAAGCTTTCCCAAATGGTTGGAATAACTGCTGCCAGATTAGGATAGTTAGTCACTAAGCAGCTTTCTTTAACTGCAGTGGAGATTGTAAACTGGGCAGCAAGGGTCGTAAAGTAGGCAGGGACCAACTCAAAGAAAAATAAAAATATACATTTAAAATTTTAGAAGTATGATCATGTCTTCTTAGGACGGAGTGACTGAATTGATGAAACATATACAATCAGCTCAGAAACAGATGACATACTTGGTTTTTTGTCTGTTTGCTACATCCCATGAGAAGATGATTAAAGAGGGAAGAATTAAACCAGTAATTTATTGTATGATCAGTTTTTATTTTTTCTAAATTCTTTTACACTACATACCTAATCTGAAAACTAGAGCTTAATAACAATATAACTAGAGTATCTGTTTTATAAGGTAGAATTGGGAGTGTGTGTATTGGAAGAACATCTCCTTTAAAGGAGTCCCAAATATTCACTAAGAAATCAAGTAGCTTTTAAAAACTCGGTTTAACATACAAATTTTTTGGTAGAATTCCTAGTAGTTTAGAATTTGTAGTAAGTAAGAGTATGTAAAATAAGCCATAAATAAATACTTATAAATATAAGGAAACATTCATGAATATGCTATTAGAAATAATAACCTGTGGTGGCTTGCACTTGTATTCCCAGCTATGCAGGAGGCTGAGGTTGGAGGATCAGTCTATTGAGCCTAGGAGTTAAAGAAAAAAAAGAAATAATATCTAAGATTAAATAAATTTGCCTGTCTTCTTGTTAAATGTATTAGGAAATAACAGAAGCATTTTTCAGTAAAAGAACTCATTTCTTACTTTATATAAATTATGTTATTGTAGCAAATGCAATTTAGATTTTTTTTTTCATTTTTTCCTTTGTAAGTGTGTGAATTCATGGCTTGATAAATAATACTTACTATTGGCATTCATTCTTTTTTTTGTTTTTTTTTTTTGAGTTGGAGTCTCACTCAGTCGCCCAGACTGGAGTGCAGTGGCCGCTCCTGGCCACCGCAGCCTCGACCTGCTGGGCTCCGGCGATCCTTCCGCCTCAGCCTTCTGAGTAGCCGGAATTACAGGCATGCGCTACTACGCCCAGCTGATTTTTTGATTTATTGTAGAGATGAGGTCTCACTGCCCAGGCGGGTCTCGAACCCGCGGGCTCAGACAATTGACTCACCTCAGCCTCCCAACGGTGCAGGATTACAGGCTGAGCCAGGCATTCATTCTTAAGACAGCATAATAAAGTGTTCTTTATTTGAATTCATTAACCTATCTATCACTAAGATGGTTAAGTGAATTTTCTACAATTTTGTATAGAAATATGTAATGTATGAAGCCATGGGACAGTAGTGAATTATGACTGTGATAGATTCTACCTTATAACAAAACACAATGCTGTGAAATAAAAGGCTTAGAAACTGCTATTACCCTTAAATGTCTGTTATACTGTCTGAGGTCAATATCTGACTTAAGCACAAAGCTTGTTACTTCTGCTGCAAGATTTGTCTTTCATAGGAGGGTTGTAAGAATATAATAAAAAATTATATTTATCTTTTGTTTTTTTGAGCCTGTCACCCAGTGCAGTGGCAAACGCACGGCCATCGCAGCCACTACCTACTCCTCAGGCGATCATTCCACCTCAGCCTTCCAAGTAGCTGGAACTACAGGCACATGCCACCATGGCCAACTAATTTTTTTTTTATTGTAGAGACGAGATCTTGCCAAGTTGCCAAGATTGGTCTCGAATCCCTGGACTTAGACAGTCCTCTCACCTATGCCTCCCAGAGTGTTGGGATTGCAGGCGTGAGCCACCTCTCCTGGAAAAAATATATTTCTCTTGACCCTTCATGGCAATATCAGACGATTTGAATGAAGAGCTTTTGTCTTTTTTTGAAAGACAAAGACTAACTCTGTTGTTCAGCCTGGAGTGCAGTGGCACGATGATAGGTCGGGTGTGCTCTACCACAACCAGCTCATTTTTCTGTTTTTTTGTATAGGCGGAATTCTCACTATGTTGCCCAGGCAGGTCTTCAACTCCTAGTCTCAAGCAGTCCTCCAGCCTTGGCCTCCTAAAGTGCTGAGATTGCAGGCATGATCCACACCACGACTGGCCTGATCGTTTTTACAAGGGAGTTTTTAAAAAATTACCTGATAACTGTAATAATGGTGCTAACAAAGGGGGAATTGGTTATAGAATATACAATAACTGTAATATCTTTGCAACTTTTAAATATAAATCTAAGCCGGGCTCGGTGGCTCAACCTGTAATCCCACACTTTGGGAGGCTGAGGTGAGTGGATCGCCTGAGCCCACGGGTTGGAGACCCGCCTGGGCAACTTGGCGAGACCTCATCTCTACAATAAATCAAAAAATCAGCTGGGCATGGTAGTGCATGCCTGTAATTCTGGCTACTTGGAAGGCTGAGGCAAAAGGATAACCGGAGCCCAGCAGGTCGAGGCTGCGGTGGCCAGGAGCAGCCACTACACTCCAGTCTGGGTGACAGAGTGAGACTCCAACTCAGAAACAAACAAACAAACAAACAAAATAAATAAATAAATCTAAAATAAGTTTATTTAAATAAAGTCTAATAATTTGACTAACATAGTTTGCTAATGAATTCGTTTTAAAGAGCCAGTAATTAGTCGGGCTCAGTGGCTCAGCCTGTAATCCCGCACTTTGGGAGGCTGAGGTGAGTGGATTGCCTGAGCCCGTGGGTTCAAGACCCGCCTGGGCAACTTGGCGAGTCCTCATCTCTACAATAAATCAAAAATTAGCCAAGCGTGGCAGCGCACGTCTGTAGTTCCAGCTGCTTGGAAGGCTGAGGCGGAAAGATCGCCGGAGCCCAGCAGGTCGAGGCTGAGGTGTCCGGGAGCGGCCACTGCACTCCAGTCTGGGCGACAGAGTGAGACTTCAACTCAAAAAAAAAAAAAAGCCAGTAATTTTTGTTTCTACCTTAACTGGAAGAAAATCAATTGACTCTCTTTGCCCCAACCCTTTTTTTTTTTAGGAATCAAGATGACCAACGAAGAACCTCTTCCCAAAAAGGTATGTTTTTGTTCTGTTTTTAGTTTAGCAGTTTCAGGCACATCTTCTTCAAATTAATAGAATTGAAGGGATTATCTTTGCTTGTTTTTTGTTCTTGCCATTATAACAGTAATGACATTGGGGATATGCGGTGCGCTAGGTATTGTACCTTATATATGCAATATATTTTAGAATATTTTCAGATTTTGGAAAACTTATGATATTTCTATAATCTATTTATATCCTTTATAAATAATGTCAGAAGGCCAGGCTCAGTGGCTCAGCTTGTAGTCCCCATGCTTTGGGAGGCTGAGTTGAGTGGATTGCCTGAACCTGCGGGTTCGAGACCTGCCTGAGCAAGTTGGCGAGACCTCATCTCTATAATAAATCAAAAATTAGCCGAGCATGGTAGCGCATGCCTGTAGTTCCAGCTACTTGGAAGGCTGAAGCGAAAGGATCGCCGGAGCCCAGCAGGTCGAGGCTGCGGTGGCCGGGAGCGGCCACTGAACTCTGCACTCCAGTCTGGGCGACAGAGTGAGACTCCAACTCAAAAAAAGTAATAATAATAATGTCAAAAAAGGAGATTACAACTTCTGGGTAGTATATTCTTTTTCTAACTTAAAGCTCTTAGGATGTTCTTTAAAACCACTTTTTTATTCTTCAGAAAAAGGTTACAGCTAGTTAGTTTTTATATTCTACCATTTCCTCTGAAGTTTTTGTTGTCTAGTCTCAATTTCTTCCTGTTCCACATCTCTACATTAATTGAGTTTTGTCACTATTACATTCAGGCATATATGGGTATTACAAAAGAAGTAACATTGTTTCTGGGAGGAATTTGTGATTCAGTTGAGAAAACAGGATATAGGCTCACTAAGCTGAATATTTTGAGTTGGAGTCTCACTCTGTTGCCCAAACTGGAGTGCAGTGGCCACTGCAGCCTCGACCTGCTAGGCTCCGGTTATCCTTCCACCTCAGCCTTCCGAGTAGCCAGAATTACAAGCACGTGCTATCATGCCTGGCTGATTTTTTGATGTATTGTAGAGATGAGGTCTCGCCGAGTTGCCCAGGTGGGTCTCGAACCCACAGGCTCAGGCAATCCACTCACCTCAGCCTCCCAAAGTGCAGGATTACAGGCTGAGCCACCAAGCCTGGCTTGAACATTTATCCTAAAGTTTTGGGGTCAGATTATTAATTAAATGAATAAAGGCTTGTATTGTGCTTTAGTAATCTGAGAATTACTATATGCTTCTTATAGTATTTTTTTAATAATATATTCTGTTATCATGTTTTTCCCCTCTTCCGTTTTTTTCTTAAGAGTTTTTCTATTTATTTATTTATGTACTTACTTTTTTGTTTTTAATTTTTTTAGAAAGCAGGATTTATTGAGAGGACAGAAAAGCTCCCACAGTGGGAAGGGATCTGAAGGGGTAGCCCCACTTATTTTTAAGAGACAGGGTTTCTCTCTATCACCCAGGTTGGAGTACAGTGATGTTAACCTAACTCACTGCAGCCTCGAATTTGGTCTCAAGTGATTCTCCCACTTCAGCTTCCCAAGTAGCTGGGATTACAGGTGTTTTTTTTACCACACCCAGCCACTTTTTCTATTTTTTATAGAGATGGGGTCTCACTATGTTGTTCAGGCTGTTCTTGAACTCCTGGGCTCAAGCAATCTCCCCATCTTGGCCTCCCAAAGTGCTAGGATAACCCACATTTTAAGATAATTCTGTTTTACTGGTTGGTATTATAATCTGAAACCATTTTAAGAAAAGATTTGTCTTATAAGGGAAACTAATAAAGCCTAAATTTTATACTAAAGTAGGAAAGGCGCCTTACCTTCATTTGGTATAGGGAAGAAGCAGTTTCAGCTTATACCCACCCTTTTTTGACTTATTTTGAAGTAATTATAGATTTACAGGTAACTGCAAAGAAATATGTGAGGAGGTTCTGTGTGCCCTTCATTGAGCTTCTTTCTATGTTTACATCTTGCATAACAAACATCTTGAATAAAAGTATGAAAAACAGGGAATTGACATTAGTACAATCTACAGAGTTTATTCAGATTTCACTAGTGACGCTGACATATTGCGCATAGTTCTGTGCAATTTTTTCACGTGTTTTTGTAACCACTACCAATCAAGATATGTATCTTAGCTGTCACCACAGTCTTCCTTGTGTTATTCTTATATAGCCTCACTCTCCTCCCATCCCTAACCCCTGGCAACTGCTAATCTGTTCTCCATTTCTGTACTTTTTATTTCAGTTTTATGTAGATGAAATCATGTAGCATTTATTTTGAAATTGTGTTTATTTTTCCACTCAGTGTATCAATAGCCTGGATCTTTTCTTTGTTAAACAGTGTTTGTGGTATGGATGTATAATAGTTCACCTGTTGAGGGCCATTTGATAGTTTCCAGTTTGGGGTTATTATAAATAAAGCTACTTGGACATTTATTTTCATTTCTTGAGATAGATGTTTAAGAGTGCAACTGCTGGGTCCTCTGGCGCATCCCACTTTAGTTTTAAAGGAACTGCCGGCCTTTTTCAGAGTGGCAGTGTCATTTTACATTCTCACCGGCAGTATTTTAAAGTTTACTTTCCCTAGTATTGACATTGCCACTAATTTTTATTTTAGCCCTTTTAACCAGTATGTAGTGATACATTATTGGAACTTTAATTTGCATTTTTCTAATGATGATGTCCACTGTTCAGGTACCAAATAGTTCACCTTTTAAAAACCTCTATGAGGTAAAATAAGGTTTTTAAAAAATTACAATACATGCTGAGCCATTTAAATCTCAAACTCTAGAGAGGTTTCGTAGGTCTCAGTGTAGCACTCCTTTTGGGTGATTTCTGTGTCTTCAGGAAGAGCATTCAATTCCAATTCATATTGTAATTCTTTCTATAGGTTCGACTGAGTGAAACAGACTTCAAAGTTATGGCACGAGATGAGTTGATTCTAAGGTAAAATTGTTCTTTTATCAAAAATATCTCTTCTATAGAACATTATGTTGAACTGTACTGTAGTATTTATCTTTTTGCCGAATATTAATACATCCTTAAATCATTTAATATACTTTTTGAACATATTTCCCATGACCTCTTCCTTTCTTTCTTTTAAGGAAGCAGGATTTACTAAGAAGACAGAAAAGCTCACACATTGGGAGGGCACCCAAAAGTGATGCCTGGCCTATTTCTTTTTGTTGTTGTTGAGTTGGAGTCTTACTCTGTTGCCCAGACTAGAATGCAGTGGCTACTCCCGGCCACTGCAGCCTCGACCTGCTGGGCTCCGGCAATCCTTCCACCTCAGCCTTCCAAATAGCTGGAACTACAGGCGCACGCTGCCACGCCTGGCTAGTTTTTTATTTATTATAGAGATGAGGTCTCGCTAAGTTGCCCAGGCGGGTCTTGAACCTGTGGGTTCAGGCAATCCACTCACCTCAGTCTCCCAAAGGCGCAGGATTACAGGCTAAGCCACCGAGCCCGGCTGCCTATTTCTTAATTACATAAACACTGAGGAAAACATAACACTTTAAATAACTACAACACTGGCTTGGGTAACTTCTAGACTCACAAGTAACCTGATTTTTTTTTTCTTTATAGAGGCAAAATACTTAAAATTGCTCCTTGGAAAGCATTTATACTTCATGTGAGAAAAGACCCTTCCTTCAGGAAGATTTCAGTTAAATATATGGAATTGTTTTGTGTAGTTTTTCCATTTGTGTTTAACATTTGAAGGCATAATCCTAGCTGCTCTTCTAGTTATGGAAGAATTATTTAATTTAATGAAGCAAAGTTATTCTTATAAGTGTGATTATCTTGTAAATGTCTTTATAAAAGCAGATTGTCGAGTATAACATAATATTCTTTTTGAAACTATGTAAGAGATCAGAAAATGGGATGTTCTGTGTTTTATAACATAAATATATTTGTTCTATAATTTATTACTGTGCTTACTTTCTTACTTGATAAGTTTCTTACTTGATAAGTTTTAGGTAAAAATTAAACGATTATTTTTCAGGGCAACCATTGGAAAGTCACCAAACTTTGCTTTCTCAAATTTGAAGGAATTTTTATTTGAAAAACTAAGCAAATTTAACACGCTGAGAGTGGGAAAGAGAAAAGGTGTTTTGTAAGATAGGGGGACAAAGATAGCATGTTTTGTTGTTTTCTAGAGTGTGATAATTTCCTACCTTTGCTTATACTTCACTTAGCTGCTCTGTGTGGTCCTGTTCTTTTGAGTCAGAGTCACTCTGTTGCCCAGGTTGGAGTACATTGACACAATCACAGCTCACCGTAGCCTGCTGGGCTCAGGTGATCCTTCTGCCTCAACTTTCCAAGTAGCTGGAACTATAGGCATGTACCACCAGACCTGGCTATGGACATGTTCTTTGTTTTTCTTTGCCATAATCTCATGCATAGGACAGTTTATCGTTGCATATCTTTTTTTTTTTTTTTTGAGTTGGAGTCTCACA